AACTCCAACACTTCAAAAGAATATTTATTTAATACAGAAGCTTTCCTAACATTTCTCAACCAACGAGCAGACTTTGGACGTTCACCTATCATTATGGATGGATGTTCTCTCAATGAGACTCCTTCTCTTGAGCGTCTATTGAGCTTTCCCCAGACCTCAAGTGGAACTCGTATATCGGATCTATTGCTGAAGATGCTGGAAAAATGGTTGGTTCATTGTGCCGAATAGTATCTCACTCCCTCTGCTATGTTCTATTTTTACAAGAGTCAGATCAGACAAAAAATGGAGAACTGCTGCCATATTTGGGCTCGAGCTGCCCCGTCCTTACTTGCCCATCTTGATAGTTCAAAAGCATCTATTGTGGCCTTGTGGGAGGTGAATTATTTTCCACCATACAATCCCTTTCCTATAAACGAAACGTTGCGAGTCTCTCGCTGCTCTATCGCTATTTCCATGGCATGTGTTCTGACGAGCTACATTCCTTAGTCCCACCACCCATGACCTTTACAAATGAGATCTGCCATGCTACGTACACAAGAGTGAATCATCTTAATTCCTTTCGCATACCGTCAGTAAGAAATTCCATCTGGACAGATTATTCCCAAGAACAGTTACTTTGTGGAACAAACTCCAGGATGTTTTCCCAATCACTACAATCTTGACCTATTCAAGTTTAGGGTTAACTGTTATCTTTCTTACATAGCCTCATGAACTTCACTTCTTGCCCTTTTTTACCTTGATTCAGCACAGCACAGGAACCTTCTACCTTGAGTAGCTCTTCGGCCTTGTGTTGAGTGAATGTTATCTGTCTGTATTTCCGAGATGATATATTGTAATTTATTACATTGCTCAGACTGTTGTCCTCATCTTTATTGTCAGGTACACGACGTTTCGGCCATTGTAGTCTCCGGCCTTCTTCGAGTGATTGGAATTTCGAACTGAACCCTTTATTTCGTACACCGGTGTAGATTGTTCCAGTTTCACGTCCCATGCCTATTCTGGGTGTCTCTCTTATCTCACTTTAACTTATAAAATCGTTGGATAGATCCAGTGACTTGATCCAATGAGTTGTGAGTTCAATACCTGGCGACGGCAATGGTGAACAAAACCTTGGAGAATTAAGTTAAAGGGAGATAACTGAGACATCTGGGAGAAGCATGGCACGTGGAACTAGAACAATCTGCCCCGATAGACGAAATAAAGGGTTCAGTTCGAAATTCCAATCACTCGAAACGTCGTGAACATGACAATAAAGATGAGGACAACATCCGAACAATGTAAATAATATGAGTGAATATTAGTATTTAAAGAAACTTTAAATCATACCAATTTACCTTGTTGTTTTTTTTATATCTTGTTTGCTTGGACCATGTATAAAATAAGCGTTTATAGAAACTGTTAATCCATCATGTTTTGACATTATTATTATTATTATTATTTGAGATTGTGGGAAATTTCCACAAAATTATGTCAGGGGCTCGCGGTTAAGCTAAACGGGCTTCCACATTAATACTAATCAACGGTTCTTGGATTATCTCAGTCTACCCAGCTATTTAACCCAGAAGAGGAGGAAGATTTCTGATTCTGGATACATGTCTTTCTCAAGAACGTTATAGATTCATGCCTTTCTCAAGGACATTAGTGTAAAAGTGAGCACATCAAGCAATTTCGGAATTTAACGTTTCGCGCTTTTAACCGTTACACTACCCGCAAATTCTAAATATATTTGCCTATTCTCAAATAAATGATACGGAAATAATTGCAAGTAGAAGTTTCTTTGGATTGCAAAATTCTGTTGAAGAAAATAAACGACTGCATTTCTTCAAAAGTTTTATTTTGAAAAACGCCGTCCTCTGTTATTCGCGCTGTTAACCTTTTTTTTAATTAAAACAAAATCCTAGAAATATGCTATTTATTCGTTTTTTTTTAGCACCGCCTCCTCCGCTGAATTGCAACATGAATGTTTCATAAATAAATCTATTGAATGAAATAATTGCTTCACGGTATTTCAGTATGAAAATTGTTTTATTTTATAGTCTATAACTCGTTTATTCAAGCTGAACATTATATGAAACATGACGATATTTCGCCAAATTACAAGAGTGAAGATGGCGTTCCTCTCATTCACGCGTCAACGTAAATTCTGGGGATAAATTTTATATTACAAAAGTAGGGTGCAATAAAATAAATGGGGCGAGGCTAAAAGATTATATATATATATATATATATATATATATATATATATATATATTGTGTGTGTAAAAATTTCAGATAGATTATATCTGTAACAGGACAATATGCATATATACATAAATATTGAAAAACCAATAACATATAATATATATATTTCATTAAAAACGACAGACAAGTTACTACGATTAAGCTTTTTATTTAGTTTTTCTTGGGTTCGAACAAGAGTTTTTTTTCGGGGTGGGGGACACAGAATGTGTAGAAACTGTCCAAATGTTCTATAATTCCGAGCGTTTTTGGCTATACCTTTAGCCATCATCAAGGATAATTTTATTTTTTTCAGTTGGGTGTGCGCGGTGTGTGTATGTTTTTAGTGTTATAGAGAAGTTTTATTTTCCGAACACAATTACCACATTGTGACAGTGTTCGTAGTTAATAATGTTAAGTGTTGGATTTTTACGCACCCCATTAAATTGAAAAAATAAAATCGTCTTTGATAATGTCTGAAAGAATAGCCGAAAGCGCTCGGAATTATAGAACATTTAAACAGTTTCTACACATTCTGTGTCCAAAAAAGAAAATTAAATAAAAAGCTTAATCGGAGTACCTTGTCTGTTATTTTTAATGAAACGTGCATAAATGAAGGATTGCTGCCTAAATACACACACATTATATAAATGTAAGATAAATAAAAAAATAAAAGACAAAACCGAGTTAACTTAAGTTTCACCTTCAAAAATGAAGGTCAGGTTCAATCTTTAGCTTTTTATAAAGATTAAACTTGGCCTGATGATATTTTGTTTTGTTTTAAGGGTAAAAAGTTGCCACGATTTTATTTTTATTCTTTCTTTTATTTTACGTTTCATAGGCCCAACTTTGTATTGAATGCTTTTAATTGCAACTTTGGAGTTTACCAACTACAATTGTTATATATATATATATATATATATATATATACACACACACACAGTTAATCTGATTTTCTCAAAGAATGACTATTTTCATCCCTAAGTAATCTTAAAATTACCATGTATTGAATAAGTGAGCAACAAGGAAGTTTTAGGGAAAATGCAAAATAAAAGGATACAGGCGTATTATCAGAAAGAGACGATTGAAATTTATAGGACACGCAATGAGGAAAGAGGGTTTGGAGAATTTGTCACTCGAAAGATATATGGAAGGCCAAAAGAGCAGAAGGAAACAGCGAGTTACCTACCAAACAAGCTTGTGTAAATGGATGGCAGAACATGGATTGGTATTAAGGAGACAAACATAGCTTTAGAGCTCCAAAGGGGATGAATTGGTAAATATCGACGATCGTCAACGTTCTGAAGAGATACGACACATAAAGGAAGAATCCTACTGTAACCAGTTTTCTGTTTTGATTTTAAGTACAATTTTTTTTGAGTGGGTGGGGGTGCTTGTACTTATTTTCTGGAATGAGGCAGACTTTTTTTTCCCCCACGTATAGGACAAATATTAAAAAGCAAATGTTTCATAAAAAAAAAGCAAAAAATAAAATTTTTATTCATTTATTTTGATTGATTCGTTTGGTTAATGCTATATCAACCTCAAATGGTTATTTAATGCCAACAAATTATTAAATTTTTTAAAATATGATTCCATCGTGACACAAAAATTACGATATTTCGAAACTGACTCAAGTCAAAGATTAATTTCAATATTAAACTTAAAATTTGGAGCACAGTTTCATTCTCAAGCGATGTTTAGAATAACTAATTGAAGAAACGTTTTACTCATTTATCGGTTGGAAACGGAGGTGTAATCAGTTTTTTTCTTTCTTTCGTTATCAAGGTGTCTCTACTCTGATGAAAGTATGAATGTTTCTTATATGTCGAATTTTTGGAGTCGTATAAGTTTGGGTTGGAGGAATTTTGTCTGGCTACAACGGTTTTTTTTCCCAGGTTACTTACTGATTGATGTTCTAGTTACAGTCTTTTTGGTGTTTGTTTTTTAGTTGATGGTTTCTTAAAGGGGTGCTTAGATATGATTGGGTTGTATTTTTAATCCTATAGTTTTATACGTGCCTGAAATTAATTTAATTTGCTAATAGATTTTATAATATATATATATATATATATATTTTTTAGGATTTAATTTCTAGTGTAATTTTTTTTCTATCAATTTTTAAATTATTAATTTTTTAAAAGGTGTATATTTGGTGGTGTCTGCAAAAAACATCTATTTCATTTCTTTGATTTAATAAATTTTTGTTTTTTTAGAAACTTGATAATGTATAGTTGTTCATGCAGGCATAAAGGACATGGATTTATCACAGATTTTCTTATTACATCAACACACACACACACACACACACACACATATATATTTAGAAAGTATTCTTTGTAACAAAATCACTTTGTAAATCAAGTTTCCTTAACACTTTTGAAAAAAGGGCTTCTGTAGAGAGACAATTATATTGCTGGTATTATTCTTTCCTTCAATAAAGCATTGCGGGCAATATTTATTCTCTACATACCTGGTTTCCTAGTTTGATTTCTGCAAATAGGGTGACTGATTCGTTTTCTTCGGCTTATGAACCCTTTACAAGCTATTTCAAACCAGAAGATATTTTTAGACTGTAAGAATTTGGGGGAGGGGAGATAATAACGGTTTAGTATTACAAGTCTTACTATTTGGCCCCTGAATTAGGGAGAAGAGGTGGATTTATATCTTTTCCAAGGGTATTTTGCGCGTAATTGAATATAACGAACCCAACGGAAATTGGAACTTGGCTCTCTGATTAACATCTCGAGCTATTATCCATTACAAAAACCAGCGCATCCAAGCTTACAACACTTAGTATTCCCATGCGGTCACCCATGTAGTTACTGACCAGGCTCGATGTTGCTTGACATACGGGAACCGGTGTTTCCACGTGATATGGCCGTAAGCTTGATTTGTTTTTAACTTTAAATCGCGACAATGATTTCAGACAGATGATATAGCTCAGCTCAATGTCACTGTTATAGATTGAGGCCAGAAAGACAAAATTAGTCTTCTGTTTAGTTCTCGATTTCAGCAAACATGTCAGTGGGTGCTTCAGGTCCCCAGCCTATCCTATAAAGTCCCGGATGAAAAGTTTAAACATTTTACATCAAAGGAAGTAAAACATAATATTCTGCCTTAGATTTTGTTTACGATTAAATCATATTGTGATACTTTTAGGTTTTCTCATACGTTGTCTTCTAATTGTTTCTTGTAGAGCTTTTAGCTTATATTTTAAAAAGACGATGTTCGTAACAAGAAAGTGAGTCATCTCTCCACAACGGTAAATAGATCTTCAGATCAGTTTACTGTAGAGCAACATATGATTTCATATATGGTTAGTGGTAAAAAAATCAGTCCGAGTGGTTTTTACTGAAGATTTTAAGGCTTAGCTCATATGATAGTTTCGGTAATGGTAATATTAGGCGTTTCTTTATGGAGAAACATTCGACAATCATTGACTGAGAAGTCAGTGTTGCTGTCGGTTGAAATCTATAAAATCTTTCACTTCGTTTTTTTTTTCAGGAAAAATAGGTTTCTCGAGTTCACTGTTATTGCTTTTTTTCGTTATTGATGGAAAGTTGTGTGGAACGTCATCTTGATTATGTCATTTTCATTTCGATTTATATGTGCTATCCATTTTAGTTGTTGCTGCTGTTGAAAGTCCTCAAGTGATGCGGTTTCTCTTATTTGATACAGTTCTTCTATAGTGATACTGTAGCGCCAGTCCGCAAGGTTCAAAGATGGATGGTCTCCGCAAAGACCTACAGGTTTTAACCAGGACGATCCTTAATGCAATAAAGAAACACTACCCGATGGAGGGGACTCCAGGAACTAGACCTATACTTATTAATATAATTGCTTCCTGTCACGAATGACAATAAGCCTAACAAAGACCCAAGATTTATCATCTACTATAAAAAGATTAAAACATAATTATTACCACCAACACCCCTATCTAAAAATAATGTGGAGTATAAATTTTCATAAAGAATGTACCACATAGATTAACCTGTCACCTGTCGAAACTCAGTGCAATCCGTGCGCACATCGACCAGCGCTTCATGAACAACCAAAATACAACTATCAACACAGAACAAATATTAGCAGATAATACTAAAATACTCTACAGCACCCGATGCAAGGAAAGACTCAAAAACCTAGGAGCAATTATTATACAAAATAAACAGCTCAAATTAAATAAAATATCATCCCTACAGGATATGGTATCTTGCAGTGCATATGATATAATTAATGCGCGCATATATTATATTAATATAAGAAAAAATAAAATAAATAAAATTAAATAAATAAATCACGTTCTTTTTTGTGCGGCCTCATTCCCAATAACCGTTAAACATGACATCATGCGTGACTACTTCAAACTTTCAGTTTCACAAAGTATACCAGATTGTAGACAAAGGAATTCTAAATATCACACAGAAACCACATTTGAACAAAATATCAACTACGGACAGTTTACTTAGAGAACAATACTCAACGCTTTATACGAAAATTGGAAAAATATAATAAAAATCTAAACAGACATTGGCGATTCTTTTTAATAAAACTTGTTTGGATGCATACTTGGTGCATAAATATACCCTTTACGGACACACACACATTATATAATTTAATCAATTAGACAGTACTAAGTTAGGACATAAGTTCCTCCATTTAATTGATAAACATTTTCCTAAAAGTAACCCCCTTAGTAAAATATTTAACAGAAACACATTAAAACTAAGTTATAGCTGCACCAATAATCTTGAGAAGATTATAAGGTTACACAATAAAGTAGTTTTAAAACAATTTAATAATCTGGATCATAATGTACGTTCCAAGATAAATATTAATGATATTGAACAATGTAATTGTAGGGATTCTGACCAATGCCCATTGCTAAACAAATGTTTAACGAAGTCTCTGGTTTATCTTAGTACTATATCTGGCAAAAGAGAATCCGACGGTTGAAAAATTCTATATTGGTAGTACTATGAATTCTTTTAAGACAAAGTGGTATCAACATATCTTGTCCTTTAACAATACTATTTAGAGAAATAATACATCCCTTTCTAAATATTTTGGGGGTTTAAAAGATATGACTCTTAAGCTGAAAGGAAAAATTTTAAAAATGCCAAGGACATGTAGATCTTCATATGAACCCTATTTTCTGTGTTTACAAGCAAAACTTGAAATCATAAAATGTTTTGACAAAAATTCATTGTTAAATCAAAGAAATGAATTAACAGTAAATTGTAAGTATACTTTACCTTACAATTTAATTAAACTTAGAAATTTGATAATGCTTTTTATTATATTTGAGTTGTACTGCGTTGCACTATATATGGCTTATCTTTCTATTTGCAAGATTAATCTGGATTTAATATAATTTTGTATTAATTTTCTGGTAGTATTGGTGACATCTTGTACAGATATATTGGTATTTGGTGGCTATTTTTGACATTTTATATTGATTGGTTGGTGTTCTTAACATCTTATATGAAGGATCTTTATTTAACAGTTGCATATTAATTTACTATATAATTCTATATGTTTAAATTATTTACTAGTTTCTTAAGGAAGCTATTTATTTATCAACTACAAGAAATTATGTAGGAAATTCACAAAGATTATAACTTGTTTAGCATTTTGTTAAATTACCTCTTCACCCTATTTTTATATCTGCATTGTCTGGTTTGCATAATTTATGTAACCATTTGTATCCGCTTTAGTTTATGTCTGGCTGTCGTTAGCTGCCAATCTACGGGTCATGACCCATTTGTAAAAAAATATTTTTTTACGTGTTTTCGGTGTAATATCCTAGAATAAATAATATTTCTCTACTCTGTATTGAGCCCGCTTTTAAATTAAATGTTACAAACGTTGGAATTGTACTCTATTCGTTCTCATCATAAATATATATATATATAATTTTTTTTACCAAAATGTAAATAGTGTGATGCGTTTCATCCTCGTCCGATGAAACGAGTCATTCTGAAACTTTTTCCCACTTTGTCATTAACTTTCCTAATATATGTATATAAACCTTGCTGAAGGAATTAATTTTGAAAATTCTCACCCGCATCAAGTCGTAACTTCTCCCGCTACAGATAATCACAAAATTATGATCCAATCAGAACGGACCTTGGAGGAACGTCTTGGTGATGATGTTCTACCATCGGAAATAGGAAACATTTTACAAATTCGTGGAGAAGTTTAATTTTTATGATCGACTTGAAAATTCAACGATGGTTGGGAACCTTGATATTAAATAACACTTTTTGGGACTAACATCATTATTGTTTTCAGGTATCTTAAAATATTTCTAATACCTTAAATAGAATTCTTTGTCAGTAAAAATTCGCTCGAAAGTAAAACGATATACTAATCTTGTACTGTTATATTTAAACTGTTTAAATATCAAATTTAAGTAACGATGCAGTCGATATAAGTAGAATTGAAAATAAAACTTGAAATTGTTACATATTCGGATCGTCAAACAGATTGTTCTGTTTCTCTACTGGGGCAAATATCAATTACCTAACTTCATTGAAGAGCTCTGAAAGAACGACAACTCTGAATGTTTGATTCGGCTTCGACTTTTCAACCGACATCATAATCAAAATATATGCCCAAATAATCTCAATACAAATTATATAATAATGTATTCAACCAAGAATACATATTGGGTTTTATCTCAATTTATTGTTTTTGATGCTGAATAATTGGTATTTATTTCGGAAGCAAATATAAGGATTGTTCGATAGAGTTTTCAATCCAATAAAGCAAGTTCCAAACTAGATAACGTAATGAAACTGGTATTAAAATTAAGCACGTTTATTTCTCTTCAAAGTTATGAAGCCTGGTTGATAAGTGAGGTCTTCAATCCTATAAGACAAAGCCTCGAGCCTGATAACTTCTGGAACACATAATGAGGAAAGAAGGCTTGGAAAAGTTGAAACTTAGAGGACGGTAAGGATAAGAGGGACAGAGGAAAAAGCAATCAAAATTTGAGCTTGTGTAGATCGATGACAGAACAGGGAGTTGGAGGGAGAGTAAAACGATAAAATTGCTTTGAGCTACAAAAAATAGTAAGTAGTGGAGAGTCATGATCGTCTACGTTCTGAATGAACACAGCACATCAAGGACGATCAAGATGTAAATTTATCTTCAAAATTACAAGATTTCAGCATAATTCTCATTAAGTGCAACATATTTTACACTTTTTCATTCCACCCAGGAAAATGGCTTCTAATTTCGATTCAAGTACAGAAGCCTGAGCTTCGAATGAAAAATCTTAACCTTTCAACATTTCTTTCAATTCTGTGAATATTCAGAAATGTAATGGGCTGAGTGAAGTGTGTACAACAGCTGCAAATGATAAGCCTCTCACCATTTGTGTCCTTTGTTAATTGTAACGCGTCCTTGCCTTGTCGTGATGCAAAAAAAAAGTTCTCCTTTCAGGATGTATTCCTCGGATGCGTCGAGTGCTCGTACTAGTATTATGTGACTCTCAACAGAAAAAATACCAGATGGTATGAATGATTTTAATATCATTAAGGTACATTTTTTCTAATAGAAATTGATCTGTGGTGACCACCAATATGTACTGGGCTTATCGTAAAAAAATACCAAAGTCGACTTTGCACTGTTCTAAACCAAAGTGTTAGGAGCCAGATACACCAGAAGACTGACCTGAAAGATAACGTCATAGACACCAAATGCAGATTCGGGCCTCACAGGATGTCAGTGGCTGCTCCCGACATGTAAACAGGTGGCCGACCCAGCTGTGCTTCGGATGTGTACATAGAGGTTAATGGATAGGTTGAAGAGGTCCTTTTGAGTGGCCGCCAAAGCCACCAGAAGTCATAATCCTGGACCTTTTTCTATGGGGCCATTTGA